CTGAAAAATTTCTATGCGCGCCATTGCCCTAAGTGCAAAATGGGGCTCCCCGAAAACACCTTGTAGTTTAAAGGGTTCCGTGAGCCGAAAAAGTTTGAAATAATTTATTTATCATTTTCAACGCAATATATATATATATATATATATATATCGCTCTTTTCAGTAACTGATTCATATAATAGAATTTAAACGTTAGATTATATGTTTAGCTTAAAAACTTATTTACCCAAAAAATGCATTGAGAGCCTCCAATGGAGGATTTCTCACTATCCACTAAATCTCATCCACGGTATATAATTTATACTCTAATAGAAACTTTAACACTCAAAAAGAATGAGTGCGTTTATTAACATGAATTAAAGGTTAGAAAATATCCTAAGAGTAATTTTTTTAATTATCAGTCTTGTTTATTATAAAGTTTCGTATCTGATTGTAAAATATTGGTTAGAGGTGTTTACAAGAGAATTTTTAAATAAAAAATGCAAAATTTTTGTGAAATGTTTTCAACGTTTTAATTACTAAACTTAAATTTCTCTAAGTATTCCTTAATTCATTTCAGTAGACAGTTTGTACGTAATTAATATATATATAGGATGTTTTTTATTCCTTCCTACTTTTTAAATATCAAGATGTTCAATTTTTTCAACCAAACTGATTCAAAATCGCTTTTACACTGCAAATGTTATTCTGTCCAATCAGTTATAAATATTGAAGATATTTTAAAAAGTTGTTTGCATAAAAACATGAAGAAAATGTTCGACAGTGATTGCATGGTAGCGAACTTGTGCCCAGCGTTGCTAAGTCCCGGTTCGAAACCTTGTCTTCTTGAAAACCGTCTTGTAGAGAAGCGGCTGCACATTAAATCTGTCTGCTTTCAAAATCCTCTCATTGGTATGGTGTGGAAATTTGGAGAGGAGATTTAAATTAAAATAATCCAGTTGACACAATGATTTAAATTTATAAAATGGTTTTCTATTAAGATAATTTAAGACTTCTTTGAACTGCAAGAAAATGTTTGTGCTCAGTTGTTTTATTTATTAAAAACGTAGGTAATAATTTATTATGAATCCGATGTAAGCTTTATCTTGCCACTATATGTCGTGTTATTTCGAAAAGTTTTGAAAACCTGATTGGTATGTACGTTCTCTTTTGAAATATATCTGATATATTCACTACCATATTTTTCAGTGTTATATATTACATATATTTTACATGTTTTTCGTACGGAAACCAAATCACAATTTTAACAATTTTTTTTTTGTATTATTTTAATAAATTCAACAATATATTGTAATAAATTTTATTTTATAAATGTCGTGATCTCCCTAACGCTTTGAAACTTAATAAAAATGAAGAAAAATGTCGATACAAAAAAAAATTACGCGTTTCCCAGAGATATATATTAAACTTGAGACAAATCCCTTATTTTGCGACCCTTATCTAAACTTACTAACTTTATCTCTAAATTTAAGCTCTAATGCGCCTAGTGACATCTAGTGACAGAAATTCGAACTATAAAATCATTGGTATAAAAATTAAATGATTAAATCCCCTAATTTACTAAAATAGCTGCTGGTACATCAACAAAGAGCTTCAATTAATTTTCAAAGCACCACTGAATTTTCAGCCTGAAGATACATAAATTCAATTAATGTGGATCGTATCTAGTTCTAAAAATTATTAAATTATTATTTGTGAAAGATTTATTTGAATTTTCAAAGTTTTGTCAGCTACATTTGATAATTTTTTAAATTTTACTGTAAAAAGTCACTTTTCACTTATAAATCCTTAAAAAAAAAAAAAAAAGGGTGTTTTTAAAAATTTACTTTCGCGTTTTCCCAGTTGAATTCGTAAAACATGCATTAAAAATTTGAGCAAATACGTTTCATTATGCATATTTATCAATTAAATAAAACTTGTTTCACTGTTCATATAATTTCTAATTTCATTACTTTAAAGTATAATTAAGTTCCAAATTCTTAATTTTTTACCCAAATAATTCAGAAATTAAGAAATTTCCGAACACTTCGCAAAATGTCTGTTACAATAAATAGTGAGATCAAATTGATTCAGCTCAATAAACATACACAGATTCCAGCAATACCAAAATAATTTATTACATACGCACGCTCCAATACAGATGATATTTTATCAGGGATATAATATTCATGGCCGTATTTGGAAGTGCTTGCATAAATATTTACGCAGCTTTTGATTTGGTAAAACCATACGCAATTCTGTGAGCACAAAGTAAAGTTGTAAATAAATTTTAAAAAATACTTTATATTGCTGCAATAGATTAAGATTCGTAACTATCAAATTCCACAGTGAACTAATCGTTTAATATTATTCACAACACAGATTACACAGTATATGAGAAATGCTTTTAATAGATTTTTTATTCGGAACGCACTTTGAAGCAACGCAACAGCTGTTGGCGACGCACCATATAATTTTAAACTGCGATCAATTGACGAGGACGACATATGAGCTCAGGGGCGGCTCTAAGGCCGGACAAACCGGACCCCTGTCCAAGGCGGCATTTGGATCAAATTTGGAAAATATTTTCTTATGTTACAAAAAATGTGATATATTTTCTGAAACATTATTGGATATTTCCTGAAATATTATTAGATGTGAATTCGGTATTACACATTTAACGTATCTAATTTCCTTTTTTTTACTCTTTATGTTTAATGTCAGTTTTCTTTTACATTAAAACTTGAAGGGTTCGAGGCGGGAGTATATGTTAAATTATGAAAGTTGATATATATGTTTACATAACTTTCATTAGTAACTTTCTCCCCATCCAAGAGAACGAAGATTCCTTTACACGGACGTTCCTTTCACCCATACGACATCTGGTGCCAGCATTTCTAAA